CTTGAGGCGGAAATACTCAATGCTTTCGATGCTTCAGTTGTGAAAGTTACAATACCTCTAGCCATGAAAAAGTCTCCAGTTCCTCCAACCACTGAGAGATCCCGAGTAGGCGCCCCTAAAGGGTCGGAGCCCATGATATTGATAGTACCTTTATGTTCAGTCGAGTTGAAAATCAAAGAAAATGCAAAGAATGTACTGTAGTCAGTTCTCATATCGTAAACATACAGCCCTTGAGCTGCGGCGACCGGAGGAGAGCGGAGGTTTTCATCTTGGTAATGGGATCATCAAAAATAATGAGGGAGCCAAACTGGTAGTTGCCTAGGTTGGTCGCATTTGTAATTCTGTAAGATGTTGAATTAGAGAGAATGTTGCGAGTTCTACCAAAAAGGATGTCATGAATAAAGCACAATTTGTTTGCATGGTTTGGGTATTTGGAACTTTCCTGGAAGCTAAAGCTGAAGGAGAAGCAACAAGCAAAAGAAAGAAACAAAACGTCATCACTCAAGCCCTTTCATTTTTGAGTTTCTAGCTTGCCAATACGAGCTATAGCTTGTAGTGATGGAATGGTTGGATTTGTGTAAGATATGGCAACCTTTCCTCTTTAATAGTGATGAAAAAGAGTTAATCTGTTATTATCTCACACAATAAACATTATAATAGTCCACTCAACAACTCTCTTTTACTTAATTTGACTTTGAGTAGTAATAGAGCTCGTTATTCAAATTTTCTAGCCTAATCTTAAATGCTTTATCCAGTTAGGTTGCTGTTATATATATATATATATCAAGCTTTTTGTTTAATACACCAATATTAAAATATAATACTGGGAATTTAGAAGCTTATGGTTTCATCATGGTCCTGACCCAGCAGCCTTATATGAATGATTAATCTTCATCCTGGTGCACCCACCACAACCACTCGTATTAATTAAGATTGATTATTATCTTTCTCCTTTGAAAGGAAAATTATTAATCAATTGTTGTGCTAATCAAAATCCAGTTGGAGCAACAAAGTCTCAGAATTCTGTCTGTTGGAGGCAGGAAAATTTAGACACAGAATGGGGGGCACATGCAATATTAGACACTTATTTTTAATAATTTAATGAGACAAGAAGGGCTTGGAGAATTGTAAAAGTTAATAATTCGTCAATCATTCATGCCCATTTGCATCGACATATCTTTCCATTTTCACATAGCGGCTGTTACAATATTACAGCAGAATCGAAACAATTCTATGGCAGAAAAAGAAGAGATTGTTCATCATATACAAAGAGACAAAATCTATTTCTAAAGAAGTTGCATGTATGAGTAATTTAGAATAGAAGTATAATTCACTGGAGGAAATTGGTAATTAAAAGTTGAAGCTGATAGGATTAGGTAGCTAATTTAATTAATATATTGAAAATGTTAAAATTTTCATCTTAAGTTATTTATCTTTCCGAGAAATAATATGTGAAAGATGAATAAAATATGTAAACAGTGAACATATTTGAAGTAAAAAAATTAAAATGTTAACATGATTTGTGAAAAACCTAAGATATTTAATAACATGATTTTTAATTTGCTTGGTCTTGCTTGGTTCAAACTTAAAAGTGCTAAATCTTTACACAAAACGGATAAAAGCCAGAGGCTAGGGTAACTATGGTGTTTGGTTTAGTAAAGTTAATTATCACCCAAAAAGAATTGATAATCCACTATAGCCTATAAGGCTGTGACCAACGCGCTCATTGCAAAACTTGTCTAGGCCGGTTAAGTAGGGCTGTGCAAAAAATCCGATATTTATATCCGATCTGGATAGATCCGCTCCGATCCGTAAAAATCGGATATCCGAAAATTCGGATCGGATACGGATCGTTTTTTTAAAAAATCCGAATATTCAGATCGGATATCGGATGGGAATGTTAAAAATTCGGATATCCGAATCCGATCCGGATTTTACAAAACTACGTCGTTTTGACTTTTGAGTGTAACAACTAACAATAACCCAAGTCTAACACAATGTCACAATAACTCAATTACTCAACTCGTCTCTCTCATTCATCTCAGTCTCTCTCGGCTCTCGCTGGAACTCGAAAGTTGGAAGCCTGTCTCTCACTCTCTCTCACTCTCAGTCTCTCTCGCTGGAACACGGCAACACGCAGTCACGCACAGCACAGACCTCACACTCTCTGTCTCTCTCACTCTCAGAGTCTCAGTCTCTCTCGGCTCTCGCTGCCTCGCTGGAACATGCAGTCATGCACAGTCGCACAGACTCACAGTCTCACCACAGTCACTCAAACTCTAAGACCAGATCTCAGCTCGTCTCTCAATCGGTCACGCTCTCTCGCTCAACTCTCTCGGTCTCTTTCGCTCGAACACGCACAGCGGCCAGTGTCTCTCGCTCAACTCTGTCAGATCTCAGTCTCTTTGAAGATTGAAGCCCCAAATCGAGCTAAGTTAATTTCTTTAGAATTTAGAGTTACTGAATTTTGTTCATGTCATATATCCCTGAGGCTACAATAAATATGAATCTACAAATTTGACTACAATAAAACTTTGTTTTTATAATTTAATCTTTATCACCGAAAAAAGTATCTGGGTATTGTAGTTTGACCCCTAAATCTAATCCACTGGAGAATTTTCCTGGCTTTGTTTATTGGGAAGGAAGCAGGTTGGTGATAGAAAGTAGAAAAGAATATTATGAGAAACTGAAAATGTTTTAATTTGGTTGTTTGGATGCATTGTTTGCTGCTTCACCGAAAGGTGAAGTGCTGACTGTTGAGATAGGAACAGTTAACAACATCTCTTTAGTGTTTAACTTTATGCAAGTAAATTAAGTAAGGTGTGATAATAACATCTCTTTTAGAGATACTTTCTCATCTACATTTTAGCTTTCTAACAAGAATAATGCATGTATTAGTGAACTAATAAGCACCATATTCACATTTAATTTGCAATCCTCGAATCAAAACTGTCACATGTTATTGAGCATATTTTCATTTTCAGTATATTGATTTTGTTGTTAATCTTAAAAGTTGTTTATTGAAATGGTTTATTTGTTTTGTTTTGTTTTGTACAGGAGGATGATGACGAGTAGTTAAGGGAGACAAAGCCATCTGATATGAAGATAAGCTTAGCAATTTAGGCAGTTGTTCAATTCAGCTATTTGTTTTAATAATTTTACACATCAGGTGGAGCCTTACGCCCAACAATTTCATATTTTCATGTTCTTCCTGCTGCGCGATTTGATGGCATGTTGGTCCAAATCTGCTGGTGTTAGTGGCTCAAAATCACAGTCTAGATACAATGGTCAATCTGGTAACAAGAAACCATGTGTGAGGCGAGTAGGATTTGGCAATGAAGATTTGAAGATAGCATAGTCATTTAGGCTGTGACAGTGTTTGGACAATATAAGTTAAATGTTTTATGCTTCATGTTAATTTTTTTAGATACTTTTATCATGTAATTGTAAGGGAATTATAATTTCAATTTTATTTCTAGAATTATTTGATTTTAAAAAGAAAATTGTTAAATTCGGATCACATTCGGATATCCGGTTATCTGATACGAATAATCAGATATCCGTAAATCCGGATATCCACATAATTCGGATCAGGGTATAGTATGATCCGAAAATTCGGATCGGATCAGAAAATGCCATATTCGGATCGGATATCCAGATTTGCACACCCTTACGGTTAAGGACTAAAGTGTGGGGCGAATGACATCTTCCCACCCAAAGTTTGCCCTAAATATAATTTTCTAGCCGAAAAGTTTCAAAACAACAATTACCCACTTTATGTTAATATCTATTTGTTAAGTTTAACTGAAGAAGGATATGATAGTAAATTCAAAAACAGTCAAACGGTAATTATGTGACTTTTTCCCCTATATATAAACAAAACAAAAAANTGGAGAAGTGATTATGGGCTGAAAAGCCCATTTCTATTGTTGCGTAATTGAGTTGCAAAGGATGTTGTTTGGGTGAATATCCACTATTTCTAGCCGTTCTTTTAAAAATAAAAAAAAAAAACCAGTAATACTACATTCACAAACCCTTCTTATTAATTTTCTCTAATAAACACGACATGTCAACTCGTAATTGGTCAGTTCGAAATAGGTCTCACCTATTTAACAATGGGTCATGTTTGATCAAATGCGAATTGCCACATTAACTTTAGTAAAAGAAGGTTATAAGAAGTATTTGTCTCTATCTTTATTAAAATAATAATAATAATAATAATAATAATAGGAGGTTTACAATTTTTGTCTCGTTACTTTGAAGAAAACCTAGTATACCCACTATAAACAAAGCTTGCGTTTAGTTGTTTGCAGCTTCTTGTTCTGTAAACATAATTAACGACAATAAAATTAGACATTGTATCTCCTTTTACATTATATTCATTTTCTTCTCCTTACTTGTATATACTATATATATATAAATTCTCAAATTCAGACGTATTAAAGTTTTTAACATGTAGACTAAAAACAAATAAGTAATCAGTGTTGGAATGGATTTTATATTTTATGAAGCTCACAACTTCTACACGTTAAAATTTTCAGAACATGATTATTAATTATATATATAATACTAATATCTGCTTAAAAAAAAACATATAAAATTTTAGTCCAGTCAAAATTGAACATAGCTTTACAGACAAGTCTATCTTTTGATAGGATATTCAGGAAGAGTCCATCGGGCCCTCATTTTGTTTTTTCACTCAATATGCTTAGCTGTGTTTTATACATAGAGATGACCGGATGCCCTTAATTAAAATTATTTTCCAGAAGAATCTCAGATATAAAAGAAAAATTAAGAAGTAGAGCTGCCTGTATCACCAAACAAATCCATTACACACAAAATTCTTAATTTAGTCTACATTGTCAAGAAGCAGATATCTTTAGTTGTACATCATAATACAGGTTTTTAATTGGTAACAGAAGTAAATAAAGAAACATATAATACAAATAAAATATAGACTCTGGAGGAAGACCAAACCATAACTTTTATTCAATCTCATAAATATACAACATTTCACCCACATATTTTTTCCACAAATTACACGTAATTAGACTGAAAGTCAAATCATGTTTATGCCTAATTAACTACCAACATTCATAAAATTTGATGTCAACACGCAAACGAAAGTAGACTTCACCTTCATATGCATCAGTCATTATAGTAGCGATGCCACGGTGCATGAAAAAATCTCCAGTGCCACTCACCACAGAAATGTCTCTGGTTTTGACCATAATAGGATCGGCTCCAATGAAATTTATGGAGCCCTGGTGATGTGTGCTATTAAGGAGGAATGAAAATCCTAGCCAAGCCGTGAAGGTTTTTTTGCTATCGTACATGTACATGCCTTGTGCTCTACCAACAGGCTTGGAGTAAAAATTGTTGTCAAGAGTAATGGGATCATCGAAAACTGCTATGTTTCCGAAATGAAAATGGCCTGCTAAAATGGTTAAATTAGCCTCGTGTGGCGCTGCCACAATTGCAGATGTTGCGTTGTCCTTGTTGTTGCCGTTGTATATAACATCATGAAAGTATAAGACTAACTCCTTGCATGGCTTATACTGTTTAATTTTCCTTGCATTGGATGCTGCAAGAAACATAATTAAAAAGAACACAGCAATTCTGCATCTTCTTGACACCATTGTTGTGTTCTTTAAAACTAGTTTGTGGGTTGGGTTTAATTCGTTCTTCGTCAATCGTGCTCTTTATACACTAGGGTGAGTAGTTTAAAGACAAAAATGAGGGCTAAGGGCATAATCAGAAGCAGGGCATCTTTGTATGAAATTTTTCCAGCCATCAAGGGATTCCGTAATCGGACTTTTCTTAATGAGCTAACTTCCAAGAATGTCACCTACTAAATCCAGTATAACAGCCAAAACTTATTCCTAATTAATACACAAATTATAATGTTATTTTCTGTTTGGTGTAGTTTAGTTAATTAACTCATGAGGCAAATGAAGAGCGTTTACTGCAACTTCTTCTTCATTGAAAATGACAAGGAGTTTCTTCTTTTTTTATGAAAACTTTTCTGTTCAAACTAGGGACGAAAGTTCACTATAATAGAATTAATATTTAATCAACCGAAGTAGTAAAGAGAATTTCAAAGAAAATCGTAAGTTAGGTGGAAGAGATCCTCTTAGTGTATATATTAAGCTTGTCCAAATTGTCAAACATGACATATTTTTCCTTTTCAAATTTCATATTTCTTCCCTACATCCAAAAAGGAAATCTGAAGCCACGATTTCCTTGCATTATGGTAAATAATTGCAATTTATTGTAGGTTACACCCGAAAGTTTGAGAGGCAACAATGCAAACTCTCTTACTTTTCTCTTAATTTATTTGTTTTATACTTGAAACATTTTATTTATTTCACAGCAAAAGTTTCCTTTTTCTTGTGATAATATTTGGTTAGACCTATGAGCTTGGGGTTCAATTGCCTGAAGAACATGGTTTATGGGCTGAAATTGCCCATTTCAACTGTTGACCACTCGCGCTTTAAGAGGTTGCTCAAGGGGTGTTGGGTGGATGTCCACAAATTCCAGCCGCCCTTTGAAAGAAATTAAATAGATAAAGATGAGGATTGTTTGATCTATATTTTTATTGAAGGAAACATAGAGTAATACGAGAACAAAATAAACAATAAACAAACAAGCACAAACAGTAAAGAGAGAAAGTAATAAAAGTAATTTATCCTAGTTTATCCAATGTAAATTACGTTCAGTAGAGTCAATATTATTTCAATATTGACTCAACTCTCTCGTTTTACAATGAAGTCAACAAAACCTCTGAATGCGTCTGTGTAACCCATCAATACTAAAGTGGTCGACAACTCTTAACACTTATGAGATTACAGTTCTTGTCTCAACTAATATATAAAATCAGGATCCCAATTTTGTATTGTAATCCTTATAGATGGTCGTTGATCTGGTCGAAAACGGTCAGATCTGTGACCATTAACGACCATTGATCTGGTTAAAAACAACCAGATCGGTGCATGATCGGCCAAATCCTATCGATTGTGCACCGTTCTGGTGATTGTTAGGGGCGGTCGACTGTGGTAGTCAACGGCCGACAGTCGTCTTGAGTGACTGGAGGTATTTTGAGTATTATTCATATAAATAGTGATGGTATTTCTGTCTAAAAAATTAATTTATGAGGTTATAGAAGTCATTTCGTATGTTTAGACTAACTGTTATTTAGTAGACATATAAGGACATTTGTTTTCAAAATATTTATTAATTAAAGGATGAAATTGGTATAAACAATGGATTAACCCAATAATAAAAAAATAACACTTTTTCATACGGTAATTGAATTATCCCTTATATTACTTTCACTATGATATTGATAAATTACCAAAATCTTTCATTTATTGACAACACAAACGTGATAATTACGGAATTAAAAGATATATTCCATTGTTATCTTTTATGAACCTAAAGCAAACGTACACCAATAGTAATATTAAAAATCACCCACCGTCCAGGATGATTGACTTGTACAGTATAAAAGTTCAGTGCCGTCAAAATTGAACATAGCTTTACAGATAAATCTATCTTGCTAGGATGATTCAAGCAGACACCCATCGGGCCCTCTTTTTGTTTTTTTGGCTCATTTTCTAAGCTGTGTTTTCTACATACAAATGACCTGATGACTTATTGCCAAAAGAATCTTACATTATATCAAGCAGCCAGCCACACTTAAAAAAAAATAAAAAATAAAAAATAAAAAAAAAGTAGAGCTGCCTATATCACCGAACAGATCCATTACACCTCACCCAACATCTTCAATAATCAAAATTCTTAATTTATTCTCCATTGTCAAGAAGCAGATATATTGGTTGCACACCAACTCGTGCAAATTATTGGTCAAAGTAAATAATAAAGAAACATGTAATGATACAAACAAAAATAGACAAATTCATAACACTCTTTTTCAATCTCTTCATTAATACAATTACACTTAACATTTCACCACATGTTTTTTCCATCTCACTCTCACAATCAAATCATTAATTACAAACAGTCATAAAATTAGATATCAACACGCAAACGAAAGTAGACATCACCTTCGTATGCACCAGTCATTAAAGTGGTGATGCCACGGTGCATGAAAAAGTCTCCAGTGCCACCCACCACTGAAATGTCTCTGGTTTTGAGCAGAGTGGGATCGGTTCCAATGAAATTTTTGGAGCCTTGGTGGTCTGTTCTGTTAAAGAAGAGATGAAAAGCCGAAGAAGGCAGTATAGGTGTTTTTGGTGTCGTATATGTACATGCCTTGTGCTTTACCAACAGGCCTGGAGTAAAAATGGTTGTCAAGAGTAATGGGGTCATCAAAAACTGCAATGTTTCCGAAATGAAAATCGCCTGCCAAAATGGTTAGATTATTGCAGATGTTGCGTTGTCCTTATTTTTGCCATTGTAAATAACATCATGGAAGTATAGGACTAACTCTTAATTGGTTTATACTGTTTAATTTTCCTTGCATTGGATGCTGCAAGGAACATAATTAAGAATAACGTAACAATTCTGCATCTTCTTGACACCATTGTTGTGTTCTTCAAAACTGCTTTGTTGGGTGAGTTTAATTCGTTCTTGGTCAATCTGTGCCTTTGAAACAACTCACTCTATGGATAAAAACAAAACGGAGGCCTAAGGGCATAATCAGAAGCAGGGCATCTTAATTTGTAAGCAATTGTTCTAGCCTTCCAGGGATTCCATAATCGGATTTTTCTTCATGAGCCAACTGGCAAGCATATCACCGGCTACTACTTAACAGTTTAAACTTACATAAACTTTGAAGAAGAACAAACTGGAAAAGAAAAATGTTATCTCATTTGTTTTTTCGCTTGGAATATTTAGTTCTCCGCGGTGTTTCTTTCTCAAATAAGTCTATTCATTACTTTACATAATACTAATTAAGTAAAGGGATTGGATAAATTTGTTGAGCAGCTGGCTCATTATGCCGACAAATCATATGCTCGAATATTATGTATATCAGTCTGAGCACTTTATTAGGTTTGTGAAAAGGCCATTGCTTTTTTTAATTGGATAAAGAATGATGAATTAGTTAAAAGTCAATAATGAATAAACAAGTTCGATTAGGCCATTGAATAATCTTATAAAAATATGAACATTCAAAGCTTATAATAATCAGGAGTTGTTGGACTTGATCTGAATTAACTTGCTCTTCACGATGAAGCTCAGAAAATTAATTAAACCCACTTATAATTCACATAACCCAACTCATATTTTATCTTCTAGGATCATAGTGCTGACAATACCCTCATCAAGTAGTCCCTCTAAACAAGCAATCATAAAAAAGCTGTTGAAGTTAATAAACTAATGGGCATATTCTTAGCTTGAACTTAAATAAATTTGTAGAGCTTTGGATTATGTACTGGGAACATGGAATGTGGCCCCATACTTGTCTCATCTTCACCGTTTATTGATTCATTTGGTGGAAGATTGGTGGGGTTTGGTGTTGATTTTGCTTTATAGTGGTTGGTGAGGTCTTTAAATGAAAGTGAGTAAAGTGAAAGGTTGCGCTTATGGTAGGTGAGTTCATTCTCAGTTAGAAGCCGACCAGTACCTGTAATATTAATGCTAATAGAATTTTGCTTTCTTGTTAAATCATCTTGCCATCTTAAACCACCAATCTCTTAACAAGATCTTATCTATAATTAAGTGAAAAGCAAGACGGCATCATTGCCAGTAATTCAATTATATCCTCACATGTGAAAGCTCCAAAGTTTCAATGATGCAATTAAAAGTTTGGAAAAGAAAAAAATAGAATATTTTTATTAAATGATCACTAAGTTATACAGGAAGATCCAATCGGCTTGTTTCTTCAAAGAGTGACATATAATTAATTTCATAAAATTCTAAGTCTTTTCGACTTAGGATTTCAACAATAAGTTTATTAACTACCTCTAGGTGATCGAGTGATTGAATAGAGACTCTTGGAATATTACCTAAAAAGTCTTAAGTTCGATTCACCTCAGTTGTTAATAAGGATGATCATTGAAGGTTTACCTGGCTGTTAACTTCAAAGCCTCATGAATTACTTGAGTTATGCACAAAATGACCTGACACCCTAGTCACAAAAAAAAAAAAAAATCTAAGTTTGTTTCTTTAATTTTTTTTGTAAAGTAATTATTGATATGCATACTTTTCTAAAGACTGACTTGATATAGATTTCAGAACTGAATGGATTGATAGAGACAGTGAAAGGATAGGGCAAGTGAACTATACTAAACGAGAAAAATAGTTAATTAACTAATCCCAGAGGCAAGAAAATGACATGAACATTGATTTCGGAAAGGTGAAGGAAACTGAGTACTAACCCACTAAGAAAACAAGTCAAGGACAAGATGATTAGTTTAATTTCACGATTTCCATTTTAATCATGGATACTCAAATTTGCTAGTAGCAAGAATGGTGCTGTTAGGTATAATGTTGTGTTAAAGTTATGAATTATGATGCTTCCGAGAGAGAGAGTGTGATAGTGCGCTGTCAGAAATGGACTCTCCAGCTTTGAAAGAGTCCCGAGTTGACCTGGAAATATTGTTTGTGTCACAATCGAAATTGAGGGAGCTGATTGGATTTTATTGAGTGACAAAGTCCATTAAATTATAGTCCAGATTCTTGGAAGATAAACAATTTCTTGTCAGGAAAATGAAATTTATATCACGGTGTCCAATTAACATCACTAAATTTCCACCATTAACTTCCAAAACGATAATACATTATGAATGCGTATCTTACTTTCAGATTACAAACCAGCTAAAGGGTCTATAGATATTTGCAAGATCAATTATGGAAAATTCCCAGAACACTCAAACATATAAAACTGGATTAATTCTATTACAAATGGTACTAAAACAAAGACACATTTGCAAACCTTAATCAAGGTTGCTTATTTGTGCACACTACACGAGCTCCCTTGCTCAACAATTACTAAAGCAAAGATTATCCGATCGCAAAATTAAAGAGAGCCGAGTACATAAACTCTAACTAATAACATTCATACAATTTAATATCCATCTTGAGGCGGAAATACTCAATGCTTTCGATAGCTTCAGTTGTGAAAGTTACAATACCTCTAGCCATGAAAAAGTCTCCAGTTCCTCCAACCACTGAGAGATCCCGAGTAGGCGCCCCTAAAGGGTCGGACCCCATGATATTGATAGTACCTTTATGTTCAGTCGAGTTGAAAATCAAAGAAAATGCAAAGAATGTACTGTAGTCAGTTCTCATATCGTAAACATACAGCCCTTGAGCTGCGGCGACCGGAGGAGAGCGGAGGTTTTCATCTTTGGTAATGGGATCATCAAAAATAATGAGGGAGCCAAACTGGTAGTTGCCTAGGTTGGTCGCATTTGTAATTCTGTAAGATGTTGAATTAGAGAGAATGTTGCGAGTTCTACCAAAAAGGATGTCATGATAATAAAGCACAATTTGTTTGCATGGTTTTGGGTATTTGGAACTTTTCCTGGAAGCTAAAGCTGAAGGAGAAGCAACAAGCAAAAGAAAGAAACAAAACGTCATCACTACAAGCCCTTTCATTTTTGAAGTTTCTAGCTTGCCAATACGAGCTATAGCTTGTAGTGATGGAATGGTTGGATTTGTGTAAGATATGGCAACCTTTCCTCTTTATATAGTGATGAAAAAGAGTTAATCTGTTATTATCTCACACAAATTAAACATTATAATAGTCCACTCAACAACTCTCTTTTACTTAATTTGACTTTGTAGTAGTAATAGAGCTCGTTATTCAAATTTTCTAGCCTAATCTTAAATGCTTTATCCAGTTAGGTTGCTGTTCATATATATATATATATCAAGCTTTTTGTTTAATACACCAATTATTAAAATATAATACTGGGAATTTAGAAGCTTATGGTTGCCATCATGGTCCTGACCCAGCAGCCTTATATGAATGATTAATCTTCATCCTGGTGCACCCACACAACCACTCGTATTAATTAAGATTGATTATTATCTTTCTTCCTTTGAAAGGAAAATTATTAATCAATTGTTGTGCTAATCAAAATCCAGTTGGAGCAACAAAGTCTCAAGAATTCTGTCTGATTGGATGGCAGGAAAATTTAGACACAGAATGGGGGGCACATGCAATATTTAGACACTTATTTTTTAATAATTTTAATGAGACAAAGAAGGGCTTGGAGAATTGTAAAAAGTTAATAATTCGTCAATCATTCATGCCCATTTGCATCGACATATCTTTCCATTTTCACATAGCTGGCTGTTACAATATTACAGCAGAATCGAAACAATTCTATGGCAGAAAAAGAAGATGATTGTTCAATCATATACAAAGAGACAAAAATCTATTTCTAAAGAAGTTGCATGGATAGAGTAATTTAGAATAGAAGTAATAATTCACTGGAGGAAATTGGTAATTAAAAGTTGAAGCTGATTAGGATTAGGTAGCTAATTTAATTAATATATTGAAAATGTTAAAATTTTCATCTTAAGTTATTTATCTTTCCGAGAAATAATATGTGAAAGATGAACTAAAATATGTAAACAGTGAACATAATTTGAAGTAAAAAAAATTAAAATGTTTAACATGATTTTGTGAAAAACCTAAGATATTTAATAACATGATTTTTAATTTGCTTGGTCTTGCTTGGTTCAAACTTAAAAGTGCTAAATCTTTACACAAAACGGATAAAAGCCAGAGGCTAGGGTAACTATGGTGTTTGGTTTAGTAAAGTTAAATTATCACCCAAAAAAGAATTGATAATCCACTATAGCCTATAAGGCTGTGACCAACCGCGCTCATTGCAAAACTTGTCTAGGCCGGTTAAGTAGGGCTGTGCAAAAAAATCCGATATTTTATATCCGATCTGGATCAGATCCGCTCCGATCCGTAAAAATCGGATATCCGAAAATTCGGATCGGATACGGATCGTTATTTTAAAAAATCCGAATATTCAGATCGGATATCGGATCGGGAATGTTAAAAATTCGGATATCCGAATCCGATCCGGATTTTACAAAACTACGTCGTTTTGACTTTTGAGTGTAACAACTAACAATAACCCTAAGTCTAACACAATGTCACAATTAACTCAATTACTCAACTCTGTCTCTCTCATTCATCTCAGTCTCTCTCGGCTCTCGCTGGAACTCGAAAGTTGGAAGCCTGTCTCTCACTCTCTCTCACTCTCAGTCTCTCTCGCTGGAACACGGCAACACGCAGTCACGCACAGCACAGACCTCACACACTCTCTGTCTCTCTCACTCTCAGAGTCTCAGTCTCTCTCGGCTCTCGCTGCCTCGCTGGAACATGCAGTCATGCACAGTCGCACAGACCTCACAGTCTCACACACAGTCACTCAAACTCTAAGACCAGATCTCAGCTCAGTCTCTCACTCGGTCACGCTCTCTCGCTCAACTCTCTCGGTCTCTTTCGCTCGAACACGCACAGCGGCCAGTGTCTCTCGCTCAACTCTGTCAGATCTCAGTCTCTTTGAAGATTGAAGCCCCAAATCGATCGTAAGTTAATTTCTTTAGAATTTAGAGTTACTGAATTTTGTTCATGTCATATATCCCTGAGGCTACAATAAATATTGAATCTACAAATTTGACTACAATAAAACTTTGTTTTTATAATTTAATCTTTATCACCGAAAAAAAGTATCTGGGTATTGTAGTTTGACCCCTAAATCTAATCCACTGGAGAATTTTCCTGGCTTTGTTTATTGTGGAAGGAAGCATGGTTGGTGATAGAAAAGTAGAAAAGGAATATTATGAGAAACTGAAAATGTTTTAATTTGGTTTGTTTGAGATGCATTGTTTGCTTGCTTCACCGAAAGGTGAAGTGCTGACTGTTGAGATAGGAACAAGTTAACAACATCTCTTTTAGTGTTTAACTTTATGCTTAAGTTAAATTAAGTAATGGTGTGATAATAACATCTCTTTTAGAGATAATTTCTATCTAAATCTTTAGCTTTCTAACAAGAATAATGCATGTATTAGTGAACTAATAAGCACCATATTCACATTTAATTTGCAATCCTCGAATCAAAACTGTCACATGTTATTGAGCATATTTTCATTTTCAGTATATTGATTTTGTTGTTAATCTTAAAAGTTGTTTATTGAAATGGTTTATTTGTTTTGTTTTGTTTTGTACAGGAGGATGATGACGAGTAGTTAAGGGAGACAAAGCCATCTGATATGAAGATAAGCATAGCAATTTAGGCAGTTGGTCAATTCAGCTATTTGTTTTAATAATTTGACACATCAGGTGGAGCCTTACGCCCAACAATTTCATATTTTCATGTTCTTCCTGCTGCGCGATTTGATGGCATGTTGGTCCAAATCTGCTGGTGTTAGTGGCTCAAAATCACAGTCTAGATACAATGGTCAATCTGGTAACAAGAAACCATGTGTGAGGCGAGTAGGATTTGGCAATGAAGATTTGAAGATAGCATAGTCATTTAGGCTGTGACAGTGTTTGGACAATATAAGTTAAATGTTTTATGCTTCATGTTAATTTTTTTAGATACTTTTATCATGTAATTGTAAGGGAATTATAATTTCAATTTTATTTCTAGAATTATTTGATTTTAAAAAGAAAATAGTTAAATTCGGATCACATTCGGATATCCGGTTATCTGATACGAATAATCAGATATCCGTAAATCCGGATATCCACATAATTCGGATCAGGGTATAGTATGATCCGAAAATTCGGATCGGATCAGAAAATGCCATATTCGGATCGGATATCCAGATTTGCACACCCTTACGGTTAAGGACTAAAGTGTGGGGCGAATGACATCTTCCCACCCAAAGTTTGCCCTAAATATAATTTTCTAGCCGAAAAGTTTCAAAACAACAATTACCCACTTTATGTTAATATCTATTTGTTAAGTTTAACTGAAGAAGGATATGATAGTAAATTCAAAAACAGTCAAACGGTAATTATGTGACTTTTTCCCCTATATATAAAAAAAAAAAAAAAAAAAAAAACCCTACTCTCATCTTCTTCTCATCTCCCCATCCAACCAAACTGCACAACCAACGCGATTCCGACCAAATGGGATTTGGCCGGAATCTAAAAAGCAATGGTGAATGCGAGGCCATCACCCCATTAAAGAGTGCTTAAATGTTTATGATTCTTCTATGATTTTTAATTCCACATTTTATTACTAAAGCTAATATGATAGAAATATTCACTGAAAGTTTTAATCACTTTACCAAGTTGATTAAACTTATGCGAAATGGATTAATCTTGTTCATTTTGTGCTTATGGGTTGCTCATTCAACATCAACACAAACAAAAACATTCATGGCATAATGTAAAGCACGCAAAGCAAATTTACATGGTTCAACAACTTGCCTACATCCATGGGACCAGGTCCAGATGAAGCTAATCCACTATGATAAACATTTATAGTTCAATTACAAAGCCAAAGTTAAACATTAGTTGAAAAACATTTCCTGTTATATCAACACTTCAAACTTCACCCTTTGGTTGCACTTCGAACTACCACAACTAACTTCACTCCATGAGACCGCCTGGTCAACCTTGAGCACCTTTCAAGGTTCAACACCGAAGACGCACTTCAGCTCCAAAAACTTGAAACTCCGCTAGGCATCACCAATGGAACAACGTTCTAGCCATGAAAAAAACAAAGTATAACAAAGGTGTTTGTAAGCATAGCTAAGCATATGAAACCTAATTCAAAACAAAAGAAACCTCAAAGAATATGCAGAGAACTTTCAGAGGTATATTTAGGCTTAAAATAAAATGCAATGGAAAAGATGAATATAAAGAAACTTGTGCACCAATGCAAGGAGACAGCCAGCCAACATGTTCTTTTTGTGTTTAGCCATTTTGGGAAAGTTTTCATCAAACTTTCTAGGGACCACTATAAAGCAAAACGAATTTTCCTATCCACCTAATGAGCTAATTACAAGTGTACAAGGACCACTTACACATGTCTCAGACGAGTATAAAGTCCTAACATCAAATGGAGACGCAACATGTATACATAAAATCTGGCTGGGCAAGTGTCATCACACGGACACTTAGTGTCATGACACCAGAAAAACATAAAGCGATTATGCATTAACAAAGTGATTTTGCAACATCAAAAATCATTCTCACCACACTGAATTCATAATTTGACAAAAATACTTACGTTCATAATTTTTTTTTTCATGATTAATAAGCATAAATGGTCTTGTTGGTTCTTGGAGTCAATGGTGTTGAGGTTTGGATTTGAGAGTAGAAGAGTAGTATAAACATCCCTTGCATGACTTTCCTTTGTTGTGATTAATGTTATTACTTTTATTATTTGGGTGGTTTTGATTTTCAAGAGATTTTCCTTCTCCTTCTTTTTCTTCCCCCATTGTATTGATATCTTTCATTTTAGGAAAATAATATAGCCACCGACGGTAGTGCACCGAATTTGTGCACCGAATGACGTGACAAAATCCTGACCGTTGATTAATTTTAACTGGGAGCTCCACAGCGTCCTGCAAGCCTGACGTGCGCTTACCGTTCTGACGGGAGCAGGTCACCCCCATCACGTGATTTCCCACGTCAGCCCTTGATTTCCCAGGCATAACAGAAGTCCCCTAGTTTTTAAGATTTGAG